GGGGGGGGGTGGGGGTGGGGGGAGATGATGCGGAGCATCCTATGGACATCACCATGTCAAGAGTCCGTTTGGCAAGTGACACACGCAACCTCTACTTCACATACATAAAGGTGAATCATCTCCTTTACACGTGTTCACTTGACCCCTTCGAGGATGGTATACTACTTGACATTCCTCTCGTGTGCATGCATAGGTATTGCCGGAGCTTCACGGATGAGGAGGAGTGCAAGCGCCAAGGATCACCTACACCATCCGCGAGGGAAGCATGGAAGCGGAGACGGAAGAAACGGAGCTGCTGCAAGCTACAGCCACCGGACATCCGGTACCTGACGCATCCCAGACGGCCAGAAGAACTACAGCTAACGCGTGCTACAGCAGCCGGACGACCGACGCCCACCGGACATTTGACAAGTCCCAGTCACCGGACGTCTGACACCCAACGGATATCCGGTGTCACCTGTCCAGAGAAGAATCATCGGAAGTCCGACGCCCTCCGGACGTCCGGACCCCCACGAGCGACCGGACGTCCGACACTGCGTGTGCGCAGCCGGGCCTTTGGCCTTGTATCTCTCTCCCACTTATCTTTTTGTGGCTTAGACTATAAATAGACCACCTCCACCTCCTTTCTAGGGTTAGCAAATATGATAGCTCATTTGTACGTGAGCTTTGCTCCTACCTACCTCTACTCTTGAGAGAGAGAGAGAGACTACCACTCCCATGGAGTTCAAAACCTCCATGTGAGAAGATCCTGCAAGATATCATCAAGGCCCCTCATGGGAAGATTCGTCTAGAATATCATCAAGACCTCCTCTTGGAGATGAACTTTACCTTGTATTTTTCCCTTTGTTGTTCATGTACCTTGTGGAACTTGTGTGTTTGATTATCTAGTGGATTGTGATTAGACTTGTTCTTGAGTGTTCCTCTTGTGATTTCCCTCGTGTTTCCCTCATGTTCTTCATAGGATCCCCTCCATTTCGTGAAAGATAGGCCTTAGGGTTTCCACCCTACATCACTTCCTCCTCCTCCGACGCCGGCGCATCCCGCATCCCCGACTAGCCGCCACCGCAGCAGCCAAAATATAGGCGTGCAGCAACACCTGTGGGGATGTGGGTCGCGGAGATCACCGACCGCGATACCGGCAAGCGGCATTGGATTGGCTCCTTCCACTCCACGATGCAGGCGGCGCAGAAACACGACACCAAGTCGGTCCAGCTCCACGGCGGTGCCGCCCAGCGCAACTTCCTCACGGCCAGCCGCGGTTGGAGCCGATCGCCCCCGGGTGGCCACCCCACGGGAGATGCGGGAAGACCGGGAGGCCAGCGAGCGCCTTGAGGCAGAGCAAGCCAGTGAGGCCTACATGGTGGAGCTCCGCCGCCGCTACCCGGAGCGCGTCGAGGCGGAGCACCGGCTGTACGAGCAGTACGCGGCCGGGATGACGGAGGTCATCGACCTTCCCAGCAACTCTGAAGGTGACGATGGCGGTGCCGGCGACAAGGGGCATGGTTGTCCCATCGGAGAGCTCACCAAATCGAAGTGGGAGAGGATCAAGAACGAGACCAATAGTGAGTAGTTTAGTTAGTTTTTATGCAATCTTAGCCTAAATTTCATTTAATTTATGTAAAATATTTCGAATCGAGTTTGTATCGAATCAAGTTCAAATCTAGTCTAAATTTGCACCAAATTTGTGTTGATTTTTTTACTCCGTTAAATTTAGGAGATCGGTTAGAAACGGCACTTTTTTAGAGGAGCAAATATCCTCCACTAAAGAATACTCGGCCGTATCTTCCTCTAAAGTTTAGGGGATCGATTAGAGATGCCCTAAGACCCTAGCTATTAGGTACTCCCTCCATTCACAAATATAAGATGTTCTAACTTTTTTTATGAATCGGATGTATATAGACACATTTTAGTGTGTTTGTTCACTCGTTTCAGTCCATATGTAGTCCATATTGAAATATCCAAAACATCTTATATTTGTGAACGGAGGGAGTATGTTGCATTTCATGCAGCAATAACCGGACTGATGGTTTGGTACAAGGCTAGTAGCAATACTGGGAGCACTACCACACTAGATTCGATAACCCAAGTAAGCCTTCAACTGGACTAAACTAGGACCGTGTTTCTCTAAGCTAAACCACCGTCCCCATCTTTAATACAGTAAGGGGCTGTTTGTATTGTGACTATCTTTGCCATATATTGCCATATGATTTTTGCCACATTTGCCTTAGTTGAGTTGTTTAAATTATTAGCCACATTTTGGTTTGCGGAATCTTGCCACACTTTTTATATCTATGACATGTGGGGTTCACTACTCATAAAAAAATTCTTGCCTTAGGTGTGGCTAGAACCAAACACCTACCTAACTTGGTCAAACTTGCCTAAGGTTAGGTGTGGCAAAGTGTGGCAAGGAACCAAACAGACCCTAAGATTTTACCCAGTTCAACATATGACTCTCTCGAGAAATTTCACATCTTTTTACAATTGTTTAGCCAACTGAAAAAAATTCCCACACATGGAAAAGGATAGAACTTTTGCTAAGACTGGCTGCAAACTATCCATTCATGTCAGGCACGCAGAGTCAATAACGTCATAACAAACCTGTAGATGTCGAGGCTGGGTTCCTCGCAGAATACGTCAGGGAGCTCCTCCCTCAGCGTCCGGATGGCGTACCCCATGTTCACGTAGTACCTCCGCCTTTCTTCCCCGTCCTCTTCCGGGCGCCGAATCGCCGCCGGGGACTCTGCCGGAGTCTCTGGGGCTGAGAACAGAGGCGGCGGCAGCCTCCTCTCCCGAACGGGGTCCAAGACTCTAATCACTATCTTCTCCTTCTTTCCGGTCCCCTTCTCCTCCTCCTCCTCCTTCACAGAGCCACCGGACGCCGCGGCGGTGACCTTGAACCGCCCTCCGCGGTCGCTCCGGACGACGAGGGCGGTCGGGCGCCGAGCGCCGGCGAGGTTAGGGGCCTGGACAAGGAGGCCCATATGAGGAGGAGGAAGGATTTCATTTTCTCTTTTCCTCTATCTTTTATACGCTAGTGTCAAAAACGGGACGGAGGGAGTAGTATATAATACTGATACATACTGTAATTATTTTTCTCTTCATCCGAAAATAATTGTAGGAGAAATTTTTCAGACAAGTATTTTTGGACAGAGAGAATATTTTTTAGTTTTAGGATGATGCTTATTCTGCCGTAGAGTGGAAATTGCCAATGGACTGCCGTTTTCTTGTCTCCTCTTTTGTCGAATTTTCTGTGCTCATTTTCATTGTCTAAATTTCAACGGGAAGAAAGCATATCTTTTGGGACATCCTACTACAGTAAGTGATATGATATTGTGAGGGCGTTTTTTGTGCTTATTTTTATGTGGATATCCGCGGAGTGGTTTTGCTATCATGCCTCTAACTTTTATCATGCAAACTACGACAAATTTGAAGCGTTATGGTGTAATAAAAGCTGGCAATTTTCAAAATTTTACATATCAACCTGTGGCGCATTTTGAAAACTGATCACATTATGCACAAATACTCGAACAACTATGATGAAATAAACAAAGGGCGATATTGTAAATGATGATAGCGCTGCATAGCGTGATCAAATTTTTTTTCAGAAAAATATGTTCTTTATTTAAACAAAGTGCTCAGAAATTTCTCATGATATTATTTGCAAAATATAGTCCGGGGGTGCACCATCCCAAATCAAACTACCTTCTACAGAAAGACTCACCCTCGCCAGCTCGGGTGCAGCTCCATTGTCGAGCGATGAGCCCACGTGACCTTGAACTCTCAGAAACCCTTCAACATGTCCTTCATGTCTTCTATCAGAGGTCAGTAAACCGAGAGATTCTTCACAGGATTATTTAGCATTGTTACTACTCCACAGCAGTGAAGCTCAATGTGTACCTTTGCAATGTTCATCTCCTGAGCTAGCCGCAGCCTCGACTTACAGGCAACAATCTCCGCAGCCTCCGCTTATGCTATTGCCGGGTAATAGTAGCTTGCCCTCCATTGTGATCCCGCATCACCACCCTTCCACCATCCCTTATTTGCTGTTTAGAAATTGTTCCATCTGGATTTCGTTTTACCCAACCTGTATCAGGTGGTGTCCATAGCTTCCTCAGCTCTGGAGCCTTTGTTTTGTTGGGTCGAGCGATCTGCACCTCCTCCCATTCCTTTGCATATTCCAATACAGCCGTCCGCAGCCTCCGCTTATGCTATCGCCGGGTAACAGTAGCTTGCCCTCCATTGTGATCCCGCATCACCACCCTTCCACCATCCCTTGTTTGCTGTTTAGAAATTGTTCCATCTGGATTTCGTTTTACCCAACCTGTATCAGGTGGTGTCCATAGCTTCCTCAGCTCTGGAGCCTTTGTTTTGTTGGGTCGAGCGATCTGCACCTCCTCCCATTCCTTTGCATATTCCAATACAACCGTCACAACCATCTAAGGTTCAGAAATCCTTTTCCCGTTATGCGCTTCATTTCTCTCTAGTCAGAGTTCATAAACTGCATTAAGCATCGGTACTCTTTCTTCTTCTCCTGCCTCCATAAGCCATGTAAGTAACCACCTCGCAGTGGCGCTCTGAGAGCAATCCAATGCCGGCGGGGTCGCCACCGGTGCTCCTGATGCCGAGCGCAGCATCCGCGAGTAACACACTGAGTGAGGGCATGGTCAAAAGCAATGATGCCTTGTTCTTCCCTGCCACATGCAGTACAATATACACCTAGCTTTATTCTTCCTCTATGCAGTTTGGAACCGATGGCCAGTCCATTCTTCGGCACGCACCAGAAGTGGACTTTCACCTTGTTTGGAACATATGAATCCCACATATTAAGCTAACCCATGTGGGTAGTTGCTGAAGAGGATGACTCCGGCCGTCCGGATTTATTTTATTTAGTGTCATCCTTAAGTGATAGCTAGACCTTACCGAATACTCACCAGATTTTGTGAAGCTCCAGGCCATGTAATCATCAATGCCCAGTCCACCTACTGCAATTTGCATGATGTCATTTGTATCATCAGTTGAGAACATCGCTTTGATTTTTGTTTTGCCCCATGTTAGCAACCTTGGTCACACCCTGAATGTATATCTCAGCCCAGTGGCTTGAGACTACCACGGTGTGAAATCCAATTATTGTTGGAAGTATGCCCTAGAGGCAATAATATTGTATTATTGTATTTCCATGTTCATAATTAAGAGTTTATATTCTATGCTATAACTGCTATGGTCCTCAAAAACTCACATGCACGTGTAGAACAATAAATGACAAGATAAGATTCCTAGTCTCGCCTCTGAGACTGGCTCAAGTGTTGTTGGTGATCACATTTTCTGGGTCTTAGGATATCGCTAAGTGTAACGATAATCCTAAAACAACATTGAGAGTACAACGTTAGAAGAGCATTCATATTGAATCGACCCAAACTTATTTGTTATACTTTGAGATGATATCGTCACAAGTCAATTGTTATAACACGGAGTGTTAACGTGTGGTTTTGCTCCTTAGATCATGAGAGTATCATATTCACATCTTACGGTTGGCTTTGGGGTTGCTCAAACTTCACTTGTAACACGGTGATCATAACAAAAACTTACAGGTTCATCAGAAAGTTTGACAAGGGACTTGATAGCTCGAGAGTGGGATTTGCTCTTCCGACGACGGAGAGATATTCTCAGGGCCATTTCGGTGTGACGGCATCCATCATCGGCTGGCCAAACACAGGTGACTACATCATGGGGATGCTGGAACATGTTAACGAGAAAGAAGAACAAAACCAGCAACGAGGAGTACTAAATACATAAGAAACCAAATACAATTGCTATATTTCCAAGTTGTTAAGCATGCTTGGTTTGGTTAACTATCTGATCTTCTATTAGGAGTATGTTACATTGTGCAATGTGGTGCTCAGTTAATGTTTGGTTCATTTTGTTGTGGTGTTTAGTTAACTGCTTGGTTCAATTATGCAATGCGATGTCCAATTTTTGTTGGTACAATTTTGTATTGTTATGCATATGAGGAATAAATCGAATTTGGCCGCACTTAGTACATGAGAAACATATATAATTGCTATATTTCCTAGTTCTTAGTCAAGCTTGTTTCGATAAATGGATTTTCCATGTGGCTAGAATTATTCTAATGAATCTGCAATGTGTTTATTTTTCATCAACATATTTTTCTTAATAGCATGTCAACCCTCACTTAACCTGATCACTAACTACCTTATATGTGTTGCAGGGAAACAATGGGAAGCACTGAGGTTTACAAATCGAGTTTTGCACATGCATGGTCCTTTGTCTAATAGCACACTATTGTGCAATTGTAGGAACCCATTCTAATATTTAGGTTTTTAACAATTTGGTCATGCACATGTAGGTCCTACTGTCAGAGGTTTTGACCCATTGTCTGTCCCTTTTTGCATATGGGGGAATGAGTTGTCCATGAGTATCAGTCAAGTCAAGAAACTCAGAAAGATTGTTAGGATAAAGAAATTAGTGACAAAAAACAACAAGATCTTTGTCTGCACAATGAAGAAGATATCAGTTCACTACAGGATGGTACTAACTATTATACCTTTTCTTGTTTATTCCTTTGCGCCATTTCAAATCTAGAGAAGATATTTATGCATATCCTTGTTTTTAGGCCTTTCCAAAGCAGTTCACTGATGATTACCTCTCAAACCACATGTATGGTCAGGAGGCGAGGAAGGTATTCATACAACACCCACGATTCAATATTGAAGTCTTCCTGAAGAGGACGAAGGATGGACGGTCAATCATCCACAGGCACTAGCCTAAAGTTGCAAATACCTTCAACATTAATGAAGGCTCAATATTCGCCTTCCGCTTCTGCAGTTTTCCAGATGCGGTTCATCTGTCTATGTATCGTATATGATGCTAATTTCGAAAGGTTATAAATGTTGCATGTGAAACTTGGTGCTTGTGCAGTTGTCTAATGGGGTAGCTAGCTATATGCTTATATGGTGTAACTGAGTGCTGAAGCTATATGATGTTATAATCCGATGTATTTCAATTATGAAATCCTAATTCCTTAATACGAAAATGAAATATATTGTGTGCTTAATATGAAATGTCAATTTGATTAATAAATGGGTTAGTAATAATAGGCCAATTAGCTTGCTAATTGAGTTTTTTCCTATTGCAAATGGTTATTGAGAAAACACCGTGGGTGATGACCTCACATAATGCACACATTTTATAGGAAGAAAACGTGTTGGATCAATGAACAATCACACATGACTTCCTCTTGAAAACTGTTTGCGTTAGGCCACCTTGCGCAAACGTTTACCACATAAAAAGTGTGTGTGATGGACAACCTATGCCACAGAGTTTCTTCTACGCACCGCGTGTGACACATTCAATAATGCAAATGATAAAATTGTTAATATCGTCTGCAATGGCAACACTATCACAAACAATTTAACGGGGAAAATTGTGTGTGATGTACGTGTGAATGGAAATGTTTTCCCTGGAATGATTGTGTGAGATGTACTTACGAAAGGAAACATACTTCTTGGATTGACTGTGTGGGATGTTGAAAGGATCGAGAAGAGGTGTTTAGAGGGGGGGTGATTAGACACTAAGTGCCAAAAGTTGCAATTTTTAATATTCTTAAGTTTAAGTGGAGTTTAAGAACAAGTTTAACAAACACAATACATATCAAGCAAGCATGCAATGAGTATATGAGCAGTGGAAAGTAAAGCATGAAACTTGCAAGAATGTAAGAAGAAGGGTTTGGAGTATTCAAACACAATTGGAGACACGGAGGTTTTTGTCGTGGTTTCGATAGGTGGTGCTATCGTACATCCACATTGATGGAGACTTCAACCCACGGAGGGTAACGGTTGCGCGAGTCCATGGAGGGCTCCACCCACGAAAGGGTCCACGAAGAAGCAACCTTGTCTATTCCATCACGGCCGTCGCCCATGAAGGACTTGCCTCACTAGCGGTATATCTTCACAAAGTAGGCGAT